GCAGAGATTTGTACAGCACACTTTAGAACCTCCCCCTCCGCCAGCCAACTCTCAGTGCTCATTGACCTGGGCTGGGAAAGCATCCTTACAGGTTGGACACCTTCACTGCACCTTCCCCAGGACAAATCTCACTGAATGTCCAGAATGGGGCTGATACTCACACTGCATGATCTGAAACTCCACAACCAGAGAGCTTTCACGTTCCTGCAGAGCTTCATCAAAACCCCTCATCACAGTGGAAGCAGCGCAAGAAGTAGCTGCACCATAAAGAATGAAGAATTTAAAAATATTTTCAATATGCAGAGGCCTTGCCAAAAGCACAGTAAAGAGCCCACCATGAATCCATAACAGAAATAAAAAAAATGTTTGCTCGTTTCCAAAGTTCCTGGAGTTTGTTTAATGTCAGCAGCCCCATTTAAGAGCAGAAATGTAAAAGCCTGTGACAGCTCTTGAACCCCCAACCCCGATCAGCAGTTACCAGCTTTGCCAGGACTGCTTTTGAAATCACTCCGTCTGTCAGCCTGCATCTTGTTACACTCAGGGCCACTGATGCAATCCTATGAATCCTCCTTTTCCCTGTACATTTTTAACTCTCTCGTGCCAGCAGTTATTTTGCTCTCACGAGAAGACGAATCAGGGCCGCTCTGTTTCTTGAGGAACATTTGGGGAACAAGGTTCACATCTCGTTTCTGTTTGAGCTGGTAAATATTTAGGAGAACAAGAAAAGAGTTTTTACGTGAAAAATGTTTTCCCATCCTTGAAAGAGTGAGGCAGTGAGGAAAGGACTGAGAAGCAGCCTGCCATTTCCTTTCCTCCCTGTGTTTTGGGCCGCTGCTGCCCCAGCGCGTGTGCGCATGCACGCTCAGCCCCTTGGGCTGCTCCTTTACACCGGGACTTCCTCCTAAAATCCAACTCATCTGTTTGAAGCAATGACTGAAACACTGTCTATAAAATTATGGCATTTTTCCACTTGAAAAAAAAAAATAAAAAATTAACACTTGGTTAAAAGTTATTTTTAAACCTCGTTGGCCTGAAACCAATTTTAGTCATAACTGAAGTGGATTCTTCTTTTCCTAGACTTCAATGCCTTCCTTTTCTAAAATACACTAGTTAAAAACAGTAAACTCAGTAAAGGCAGAGTTTACACTTCTGTCTACGCTGTTTTGCCCTCTGACATATCAGCAGTTTGCTTTTCAACAAACCCAAACAAGTCTTTACTTTTTCTAGTTTAGGAACTTCTCCCGAACACAGACTTGAGCAATCCTGGAGCAGAACCACCCACTTCCAGTTTGAATCTGGCTGGGGCACTGGCAGAGCATCATCACAGCCAGTAACTGGCTGAGTCAGAGTTTATGTCTGGGAGATAACTGAAGCCCCTGCAGAAACATGGCTGAAAACATCAGAGCTTTATTCCAACGCATGACACCGATGGCTTCTGGCACTACACCTGCATTTACACGGCAATGGTCAAGCACGAGACACGTGAACCGAGAGCACTGTTGGCATATACGTAGGTAGAACAGGACTGTCCTGACTTCACCACATTCCCATTTTCCAGGACTGTCTCAAGAGACAGTAGGACATCAGGACTCCTTAATGAAGTAGCTGAGCTGGAATCTGGGTTTAGTAAAACTAACTCCCCTTGAAGACAAAAAGAGAGAAGAAGAACCGCTTCAATCTAACCAATTAATATGTCACCAAGATGTATTTTCAGGAGTAACAGGCAAACTGACCTGACAGGAAGAGTATTTTCCTTCTTTTTCCAAAGGGGATTCTGTTTCTCCTAAGAGAAAATTCAGACTAAATTACACTGACTTTATATTCAGTGAATGTTTTAATGCACAGCATTGTCTGCACTGTGATAACTCCTCTGAGCTGTGAATACAAGACTTCTGTACTTCAATTCTACACATTCTGTAAAGGGTATCAGCAAGCACAGCAATGCAAAATAATTAGAAGGCAAGAAATTCATAGTGACTTTGTCTGTAAAAAGTAATTTAAAGAGATTTTCATTTTCCAAGTTGAAGTTCCTCAAGTCTGAGCTCAGCATTTAAGTGTTTGATCCTTCAAATCAAGCAGAAGTGATTCACTAACTCAAGACTTAATCATGCCAAAGGAAAGGTAACTTTTTATATTAAAAAAGTGGCATTTGGGGGTTTTGATTGGTTTGTTTTTGTTTGTTTGTTGCTGCTGTTTCATTGCTTGAGTGCCAAGAGATTTGGAATCAAAATTTCCCTAGAACACAGTATCTACCTAATCTTTCAAACTAACAAGGTTAGAAGCTCACTGAAGATAGACTTTGTGAGAACTGTGCAGGCTGAGATGTTGTTTTCAAACAGCTGCATCTGGAGGGCTGTTTTGAGGGGATTCATGAATTTTTTTTAAATGAGGGTGAAGAAGATACACAGGGGAAGCAGCACATCCCCGGTGGTGTCTTAAGACAGAAGCTCTCAGCTCCTCTGTCTCCAGTTCCTGCACAAGGCTGTGGAGTTCAGTGTTAACATTAGTGAGATGTGGTTTGCCAACATGTGCTGGCTGAATGAGGTTGGTCTCCATTACCTCATTTGACACAACCCTTTACAGACTTTATCCAACAAAGCTTTTGAAGATATATTTATCTTTACCACGTGAGAAATCTCACTTACGGTAATGATTGGGCAACAATAAAATGTAAAAATAAAAATGATTAGCAGTCCGCTGACGATTATAAACCCTCTTCACTTCCCTTCCTCCCCCTTTTTCTTAGGGACTCATTACTCCAATGTTTGGTTTTACTTTTGTAAATCCAAGAGTGCAAAGCAAAAGGCAGAGGTATAAAAGCAGCCTCTGTCTGAATGGATGGGTGAGTACAGGATCTTGACATCTGTACATAGGACAGGATGCACAGTATGAATGCCACACTGGGCAGCACTAGGAGGAGAGTTACAGCTCTGGTAGCAACCCAGGAAATCTGTACCAGGACAGTCTGGAAGGATTATGCAGCTTTGGACAATGAAGTTGCATGAGAAGCTGTGATAAACCATCATTGACCTCAGTCAGCCATTCCTCTCTTCTCCTGACCTGTTCTCAAAAACTGTCTGGCCACCTCTCGGGTTTACCCACGTCATTTTCCATGCCACCAGTGCAGAAGAAGACTGTGGGATTTGAGCCTCCACAGGCAGCTGCAGGTTAGTTCAATCTGCCTAGTGGGATATGTAACCTCCAGACTCCAGCATGAATGCCCTCTGTGAAAGAGAAGGGGAGGGTGGGGGCACGCACAGATGAAGATACAAGAATCCTTACAAGGAAGGAACTGGGTCAAAGAGAAAGATCAGGATGGTTTCCTGGAGATTTCTTTTGGAGTTATCTTCTGGCTGACAGCCTGAGCCAGAGGGAGAATCTCTTTGAACCTACAGCAAGAATTGTCTTTTCCTCAGAGTGAAAGAAGAGCCAAGAGCTCTCTAATCCTCACATCTTGCAGGTTTGTCCTCTACCTGCTTATGGGTATCCTGTCTTGTGCCAGCAGCTTATTCTGTCAGATGCAACAGGTCCTGACCTCCCACAGCTCAGGGCACTGGAGAATAGAGCTGGTCCACACAACTCCCGACCTCCAGACTCGGTGTCTGCCAGCCCCAAGAGCTCTCCAGCGTCCCATCCATCCCCATTTCCCTTGACAGAGCACCTACAGTCCAACCTCCCTCCTCTGAGATCAGAGCAGCATCCACTGCAGCAGCAAAGCCTTAAGTCAGCATGTCCTAAAGAAACATTATAAACACTACCTTGACATTTCAGTGTACACAGTTAACGTTTACATTTCACACCACCTCCTATGTAAAGTCCCTCTATCCATGCCATCAATACACCAATTCTCTTAACCCCTCCCCACCCAACACTTAGAGCCCCTTTTCCCAGGCAGGCCAACAAAACAGAAGATTTTTGGTGCCTCTGAGCCCAGCCAGTGTGCAGAAAGACATGGTCAAAAATGGGTTAAAATTGCAAAAAATAAAAGCAGACAGAAATTACCAACTTTCAGAACATTTAAAACCACCTAGGTCTTTCCCAAATACCCCAAAAATGCTTCCAGTTCACAATATAGATGCTATATTTCAAAGGCTACTTTCAACATTTGCTGTGAAGCATCTTTTGATGCTCCAGATTCATCTTCCTATGGGTTAATATACCAAAAGAGGGAAAGAGGGGGTGGAAAAAAAGGCACAAAAGCTGCATTACTCCTTTCCGAGGTATCACAAACTCTCTCTGCATCTTATTCCAGAGTGTGAGATGTGCACTTTCCACTCTTAAGCTCAGTAAAAATGGCATAAAAAAAAAATCCTGGGAACCACGGTATTACTCGTTTATCAGATCAACATCAGCAAAACTGTCTTTTTATGTGCTGCTTATTTTCAAAAAAAAAAAAACCCTACCATGCATATTTCAGTTCTCCCTCTCCACACCCCACACCCTTCTGCTGCTGTCCAGCTGGAACACATCAAGGGTCTAGAAGCCAAGTCAAATGTTGACCCCACCCTCCTCCATCCATTTTAAGGCACCTTCAAAGCCAGTACACTGATCTAGTTCGGCTTAGCCAACAACACCAGCAAATCTGTTATTTAAGACTTTAGTGCTGGGTTTTTATAACTGCCCATTAATACAAGCTTTGATGTATGGTCAAAAAATCCAGCTGTAATGAGTTTCACCAGACTGTAGTAACCTTTCCTCAGAAGGTCTTTATTACTATACCTTCATAATCTTTGGGCCCAACACTTTTATAGTATCATTCTTACTGAACCCCCTTAAAAAACAACACTCAGCAACACTTAATACTTTTCCTTCCCCAAAATTAAAACAAAGAGCCCGTAATAGTTTTTCTAGAGGATGCTTTTGCACCCCCATTTCTCAAAGCAGTTTGCTGTTAAGGGCATGCAGGTAATAGCTGTGTGAACCAAAAGACAAACCAGTTTTCATGCCAAAACCCTTGTGACAGGATACAAAAGGAGTTTGTAAAAGGACAAACAACTTACTTTGTTGCTCCCCTTTGTAGGATGCAGCAAGGAGGAAAGAGAGGGGGGAAAAAAGAAATATTAGATACATTTATTTTACATTCATTCAGCCTCACTTATACAGTTCTGGAAATGGGTCAAACCAAATGAGGAACTGACTCAGAGAACATTCACTGAATCCTGTAGTTAGAGAGCTTCCAGGGGAACACAGGACATTTGCAAGGGATTCAAAACATTCAGAATGTTTTGCTCTCCACCCAAACATTCTGATTCCACTTTTGCTTCCGTCGGTGTCAGTCAGGAGCGGCTCCTGGGAAGTCAGAGGACACCGATATGAGAAAGAAGAAAACGAGGCCTGAAGTGCTCTAGGGATGGGATGGGAGCCAGAGGGATTTTTGTTGGTAATGCTGAGCTTCCAGTTCACAAAGCAACCCCCTGAACGTGTCTGCTGAGCCCGCGTGACGGCCACTCCCCACAACTCGCCAGCGAGTGGAAAGTTTCACCATCCAAAGCTTTTTAAAATGCAAATATTGAACTTTTAGATTAGTAATAAAAATAAGGAGGAAGATGGCATTATGGGAGGGGGGAAGGAGGAACGGACAGTGCTAGCAAGGTAGAGTGTGCAGAGCAAGTTACGACAAACATCTGTGCTATTATTTTAGTTTAATTGTGAGTTTTGCCATGAGCTGGCATGAACAGTGTATATTTTACAGTGGGAAGCCAGCCAAAATAAACACCAGCCTACAGTTGAGAAATAGAGTCTGGAAGGGTTAGTCACAAAGTTGTAGTCATTTTAAAAAAAAAAAAGAAAAAAAAAAAAAAAAGAGGGTTTTGGATGCATCAGTCCAGAAGGCCTGCAGTAAAGTCAGCTGGTAAATGGATATCCCGTTTCAAAGTGAATTGGCCACAGTGTGATTTATATCAAGAAAGCTGACTTGCATATGGGTTGGAAAAATAAAAACACTGATTCATCGCTATCCGGGTGGCTGTCAAAGCCCACGGCCTGACAGAAGTAAATCGACCGCGGGAAGGAGGTGACTTGGCAAACTGCAAAAGAATTGAGGGGCTGATGGAGCAACACTGAGGGGTGATCAGAGACAGTTCGCAACAGAGTGAATATATGAAGCTGAGTGTGCATCACCGTGTGCACAGGTCAGGCAAGGCAGGCAAAATTAAGCAAGGAAAAGGAGCAAAGGGGTGATATATGTCCTTTAAGATATTAATGAGATTTGTTTAGGCAAAAAGAAAAATTATACATCTAAAACCCTGGACTCAGCTTACAGGATTAAAGTAGCAGCAGAGACGCCGTATTAGTGGCAGCAAGTACTGAGCCCCATTACCACTGCAATCAGTGGAGCACTACAACCAATAGAAAAATCAATATTCTTAGATGAGAGATTTGCCCTTGGTGAGAATTTAGGACAAATCTCTCTAATTCAGTGACAAATTCCTACTTTTGTTGCCACTGCAGAAGGAACCCAGCTAGGGGCAGTGGCTGTGGGTTTTCCACCAGGTCCTTGCAGACGAGCAGCAGAGCTGCCAGTGAAAGCATCCAGCTCCGCTTTCCCCCTCCCGGCTGCGCACACGCTCTGGCAGCTCCAGGGAGCGGGTCAGCCCACGCTGCAGAGCTCCAGCCCCACAGCAACACCCAGCTAGTTTGCATTTCTAAGCAGCAATTTATCTACTGCTGGTACCAAAGCCTCGGACACTCAAAAGTTCCCGGCTGAGCCTCGCACATGAGAGAGAGGGAGAAGGTCCATCTGGGAAGGGGCTCGGGCACCTCTTTGCCTTTTACCTCCGGGATCACAAAGCTGTGGGGAAGCACTGGAGGGAAAAGTTGCTGCCATTTCCTGGAAGTCTCTCTTACTTAAAAACACAGCCTCTAAATCTTTAGAGGAGAATAAACTGAGGGGTGTCTTTAAACCTTTTTTTTGTATTGTCAGAGGAAGGTGTGAAACTGAGGAGCGTGCACAGGATGTTAATGAAATGCTGCTCGTTTTTATTTGGGTTCCACTGGAGCTTCTAAGGTACCTGAGGCCTTTTAGATTCTGCTTTGCAAAATTCAAAACCCTAACAGCAGACTCACAGTCCACATTTGGATCTCTAGTTCTTTAGGAATAAAGTTTTGGAAGACTAGAGTAGCACTAAGCATCTTTCCTGAACAGCTTGATGGACTAGTGGATGAATTTCAAACTATAGGGGTTTGAAACAATAATATTCACTCTTTTTATAATGCAAAGATAATTCCAGCTCAAAGGAGAACTTTATTTTGACTTCTTTCTACTTCTGTCTTTCAAGGAAGTCTCTCATCTTGCATCTAAGACTCCTTTGACAGATCAACTTTAAACAAAAGTAAGAATTCTTTGTAAACATATTTTGAATACCAAGTATTCTGAGGGGGAAGGGAGGGAGAGGAAGACAGAAGAGAAATTTAGAAATCCAACTAGTCTGTCTTATTTGAGGATAAAGTAACAAATATATGAGCTACAATACAACCATCACAGAATACAAGATTATACCAGAGGCAGCAACAGGTTTTTTTGACATCATGATTAAAACCTGAGTAAGAAAAAACCAAAACAATACGGTATTTTGTTCTTAGTAATTAATTAGGCAACTTCTTACAACCAATCCTTGAAAAATGACTTCTGATGGTCGTAGGTAGGTCCCAATGTATTGGAACAGGCAACATACTGAAAAGTCACCAGTTTTTTTTTAAAGGTCTCAGGTACCTGGTAGTTCTTCTGCTAAATGAGTATTTTCACTACTCCTTAAAAAAACCCAAACCTATCATCATTATCATAATTACTGTTTATTTCTATAATAATTTCTATAATAATTGGATAATCTAGCAGTTCAAGGAGTTCTTAATTATCTTTTGATGGTAGCCATGACACTTGCTATGAAGAGAGGAAGCTGAGGCTTGTTTGCTTAAACAGCAGCAGGAGGAGATGCAGACAGTGGTACTGGAAGCCATGCAGGCATCACAAGTATAAAGGAAATATGAGGGAGAGAAAGATGAACAGAGAAGACCCTGAACACAAGGGACCATGGAAAGCAACCAGGAAGAAGGACAAATTCAATCAGAATCAAAGCATCATTTCCCAGAAGAGAAATCTTGCGCTGAGGGGATCCAGCAGAGCAGCAGCCTCACGGCAGAAAGGTGAACTGTGCAACAGAGAAACTCCAAAAGCTCAAACAACAGGATTTTCCTGTTAGTCAGCCTTCCCTCTGGATGCATCTCCTCAAACCTTCACCTGATGTAAAGTATCAAGAAATCTAGGTCCAAAAAATATGAAATGGTAGCTGGACATGTTTTGTTTCCCAGCTTGCTGTCATTTCTGGTGAATTAATAGAGGCTTTTTTACTGTATCCTGTTCAATTTGCTTCACATGATGATTAGCTGAGTAAAACTGCCCTTGGAAAGGTTTGGCATGTGTTTCATGCACAAGAAACATGCAGCAAAATCAGTAAAACAAATATACACGATTGCCTGGAATGCTGCTGTCAGTTCTGTAATACAGAGCTTGGGGGAACAAACTCTTCAAAGCACATCTTTACCTCTAGAAAACATGAATAGAAACAACGCAGCTCAGGAAACCCCAAATTGCTCAACGCTTTTACTACACAGATCCAATGAAAAACACGTTGGAAGGTTTGGTTTGTGGTTGCTTTTTTTTCCCCGCGTTGAGGTTTGACGCACAAATTGATCTTAAAATATTTCATTACGAATATTTCGCAACTGCCACAGACCAGTACAATGAAAAGGCTGCCCTTTCGTGAGATATCTGCAGACACTGTGTTTCCCCAGATGATAGAAGTGTGTTTTCCGACTCAAACAGAGCAGCTACTGGCAAACCAGTGAGCTGTTTGACTTACTGAGGATTTATCAGGATAGACACCGGCTCGTAGCAGAGATGCCTTCCAGCTATCCACCTCCTCTTGGGAGTCACAGGCTAGCTCAAGGAAACGGTAATCCTTGTAAACATTCCTAGAACAAAGAGCACCACATTGTAAAACTGGCATTTTACTACTCTGTATCATGCACACAGCATTTTCAATTAAAAATCCTGTGGGATCAGAAATTACTCGGTAATTGTTTTGGACAACAGAGTTTATGAGACAGGTGCTTGTTTAATAATTACATGGAGTACTTAAAAATATCTTAGAATGCTACAGCACAGCTCTGGAAAGAATAATCATCCAAAAGCACCGTGAAACTATTTAAAATCAATTTTCCTGCTTTTGCCAAAACAGAGCATTTGCAGGGAAAAAAGGCTGTTGTGATGCAAAGGACAAACACACAAGGCATGCCAAAATAACTGCACAGCTTGTGACAGATTGTTGCTGTAACCAATAAATACCAAAATAATTACTGATACAACTTGTTCCCATGTTAAGTCCTTTGAGTTCATTATGTACCCTTTTTAGCTTTTGGACATCACTAGTAAAAGAGAGGGGGAAAAAAAGGCAATGATAATCAGATATTTTAAACAAACAAACCTCTGATGTACATCATCATGGTAAGAAAATTGGGACACATTTAAATAATACCTCTTGCAGCTACTTCAGATAATGAGATAAATAAAAGGAATCAGTTAATGGAAGAAAAGAGAAAGGAGGAAAAAGACAAATATAGCAAGGTGGTACTTGAAAATTCTCCAATAAACAGAGCAGATTTTCCCCTCACGGTTTAGCCATTAGTTTCTGAACTCACATCCTATAAACAGACGAGATCACCGTAAATTTGTCAGCCAACAGTCTTTTTAGGAAAGGCTACAAGCTCAGCTGACAAAGGTTAGGAAACTACATTTTGCTGGATCTTAAAGGTTGCACAAGAGTCAATCTCCCGTCAAAACCAGACTGTTTTCCTCTCTTGGCAAACTGTGGAGGAGAGGGTTGATGGAGATCACTTCACTCTCAAACACAGCAATGACAAGGGGTCCTTTGGTTTCATCATGCAACTACAGAGGTCATTTTTGTCACATATTTTGAGGGGGAAAGAAACCGAATACGTTATAGAAGCAGGAAATAAAGCTATTATTGTCACTGCCTAGACAAATTTCTTTAGCATTTGGGAACCGGTGGGATTTCACCGTCACACTGCTGGAACACAACCCAGTTGATGTAATTCCCACTCACAGAAGTGCTTCTCCCTTACCAACAATGTCACCAGGCAGCTCGTAGCCTTGCTTTTTAGAGGGAGTTTCAGGAAACAGGTAAAAAAAAAAAATGTAATTGAATCTGAGCACAAACCAGCCATGACACCTAATCATTAAATTATCAGCCGTACGGCAGCCAGAGCACACCCACCTCTGAAGAGAGGGACAGCAGGTATTTTTAGCAGGCTTATGAATTGCATTCAAAACTGCAGAACAATAAAGGACATACTCATATTTCCATATGTTGGTGATGTAATTCTCACCAATTTCAATGGCTAAATCTGAGCAGTCAGCACCAGGCTCGCACTACTCCCTTCAAGAATCCGGATTGGAGATGTCACCAGAGCAGGTTTCAGTGCTGGTCAGAGGAGCACACACTGCACTTCTTCCCAGAAAAAACAGCCCACAAGGTCAAAAAGAGATACTAAAGGGTCAGATCCCACAGTTAAGGCAAAACCACTGACTATATGAACGACTGAAAGCTCTATGGATTTTTTTTTAATTGATTAGGAAATTTAAAATTAATCCTCCTTCTTCCCTGACTCTGAAAGTACTAATCCTGCCTTAATACAAATAATAGCC